GTATTAGTCTTGTTTTGGTTCATGTGTTGTTCAGACTTGCTTCTGCGGAGGCAGGCAGCCGTCACAGTCATGGTCCCGGTCCTCGTCCGTGGTGTGTGTGTGTGTGCCGCGGGTGCGCTCCGTGTGCGCATCAGGTGCATCATGTTTATCCTCGTACCTGTGTATGAACACACGTACATGCAAGCATGCATGCATACATACGTACGGTTATATGCTTATGTGCCTTTTACATGCATTCGGAGGTCGATAGACCTCCTATCCTGACACGTCAACTAAGGAATTGGCCGTTTTCGGTTCGCGAGAGGGCGTCGCGGCGGTCGTCATTTTTGCAGGTCCAGGTCCGTCGGTTTCGGTACTAGGCCGTTTTCAATAAAGGGAGGGTTACTAAAGGGAGGTTTGCCCACCGCCGAATTTTATGCCTTGTACATACATGCACATGAATACATGGACATAGCACTGATGTGTATAAATGTCCCTGTCTACGAGGCCTGGGGGCCCCTGGCCGGGGGCCACGACAGCGCATGGGGGGACTGAGGGGGCCAGGGGTGCTCCAGAGGCGCTCCGAGAGCCCCGAGTCGCTTCTAAGTCGCCGGAAAATCACTCCCACACGGTCGTGGTTGTCTCCAGCTGGCCCACCACGTTGCCAGTGGCGCTCCACGAAGGCTTCCACACGGCCCAAAACGACCCCCGGACGCTCCAAGAGGTATTCCAGACGGCCCCCAAAAGGGCCCCCAGAGGCAGAACCCACGTGCTTTCCATTGGTGTTTGGTGTTTGATGTTTTTGTTGGGCTTCCGCCTTTTCGGCTTGCCGATGCTCCAAACTAGCCCCAAAAGCACCACCACCCACTTCAAGACGGTTTCAGGGGCTCCCACCAGGGGCGCCCAGAGCATCCAAGAGGGTTCCCAGACGGCCTCCAAGAGGGCCCCAAGAGGCAACATTCACGGGTGTTCCTTACGTTTTTGTTGTGTTGGGGGGGGGTCCGCATTTTCGGCTTCCCGATGCTCCTGCCCTGCCCCAGAAGCACCACCGCCCGCTTCAAGACAGCTGCAGGGGCTCCCCCCAGGGGCGCCCAGAGCATCCAAGAGGCCCCAAAGCCGTCCAGAGACAGCTTCTGGTGAGCCCCACAGGGCACCGAGTCGCCACCGAGCCGCCGGAAAATCTATCAAAAGGCGCCCGCGGTCGCCTCCTGACGGCCCACCACGCCCCCGAGCTCGGCCCACGCGCTCCACGAAGGTTCCCAGACGGCTCAAGACAAGGCAAAACTCATTGGTTCTCCTCAGGTTCTTCGGGGGTGGACAGACCTCCAACCCTGACACGTCGATTAAGGCATTGGCCGTTTTCGGTTCGCGAGAGGGCGTCGCGGCCGTCATTTCTGCGGGTCCAGGCCCGTCGGTTTCGGTCCCAGGCCGTTTTCACTAAGGGGAGGTCTACTAAAGGGAGGTTTGTCCACCGCCGAGTTTTGCTTTTTGGGGAAGGGGTCCGCCTTCGCGGCTTCCCGATGCTCCTGCCCTGCCCCAGAAGCACCACCACCCGCTTCAAGACAGCTGCAGTGGCTCTCCCCAGGGGCGCCCAGAGCATCCAAGAGGGTTCCCAGACGGCCCCCAGGAGGGCCCCCAGAGGCAAAACTCGTTGGTGTTCCTGAGGTTTTTGCTGTTTTGGGGGGGGGCTCTGCCTTTTTGGCTTGCCGACGCACCATCCCGGTCCCAGAGGTCTTTGCTGTTTTGGGGGGGTGCTGCCTTTTCGGCTTGCCGACGCACCATCCCGGCCCCAAGAAGCATCGCCCTCGCTTCCAGACGGTTCCAGCGGCTCCCCCAAAGGCGCCCGGAGCACCCACGAGGCCCCGAGGCCGCCCCAGGACAGTTCCGGGACAGCCAAGAAGGCACCACGTCGCCCCCGAGCCGCCGGAAGATCGCGCCCACTGCGCTCCCCACTCCCAAAGGCGCCCGCCCCACAAAGGCCCCCAGACAGCCCAAACCGTTGCCCAGACGCTCCAGGAGGGTTCCCAGATGGCGCTCGAAGTACCCCAGGGCGCAACATCCGTGTGTTTTCCATACGTTGTTTGTTGACGTCTTCAGCCCCAGTAGCACCACCCGCCCGCTTCAAGATGGTTTCAGAGGCTCCCCACAAGGGTGCCCGTATTGCCCAAGAGGCCCCAAAGTCGCCACAAGACGCTTCCAGAACAGCCCAACAAGGTGCCGAGTCGCCTCCGAGTCGCCAGAAAATTAATCATGCCCAGACGCACGTGGTCGCATGCAGATGGCCCCCGTTCCCAAGGTGCTCCACGAAGGCTTCCATGCGGAACAGACAGCCCTCTAGACGCTCCAAGAGGGTTCCTAGACGGCCCCTCAGAGGGCCCCCAAACGCAACATTCATGAATGTCCATTGGTTTTAAACGTTGTTCTGAATTCCCGAATTTCCATGTCAGAAGGTAGACAACAACCCACGAATAATCAACGAAAACTCAAAACCGATGCGAGCATCTGGACTGTCAAAGAAGGC